TAAATCGGATAACAAAAATAATCGAGATCGACACAAATACAGATAAATTCAGAGTGGATTCGAGTTAGCTTGATCCATGGCGTGATTGTCATAATTATAACATCGTATTAAAACTTTATTTGGTGGAAACACATTGACCAAGCCCGGATTCTTATTTCATAAATTATTAGCAGATCAAGCCGCAAGCATGGAGGTAAAAAAGAACAGAGGTGTGAATTCGACATTCAACACCAATCACCAAACAATTCAGAAACTTTTAGCCTTCGAAAATGAAAACAGTTAGCAGTGTGTAAGGGCTGTGTAATTTCCTGTTTGTCCGACGCTTCGTTTTCGTGTCACTGTCAAAATTATTGCTACCTTTTACTTAACAGGGACTAAATGGTTTCTATGAAACGATAATCAGGATCGCAAAAAAAAGTCAACTGATTTGAAACACTTGCTGGACGTCTCTCTCTTCTTCTGAAATCCGCCTCGGTGACCATGGGCTGGTCCGGAATCTATTTCTTTCAAAAGTGTTGCGCCAGGTTTACGTTGTCGGCGTTTCTCTTTAAACCTAGTCGTTTTTTTATGGATGAGGACAGTTGAATGAATTTAAGGTTAAGTGATGTCGCACCTTCGGATCGATTAGAAACGTGTGAATACATACACTATGGCTATACGTTTCACTGCAACTGCCCACAACACAACATCTAAAAACTCTCTCTCTCTCTCTCAAAAAAAAAAAAAAAAAAAAATAGACAAAAAAAAAAGAAAAAACGCCGACCGAAAAATGTATACTAGTATTGTTTAAAAGTATGTATACTGAACGACCAGTGTTATTACGGCTCAGGGGTACGACTTCCTCTCACATTTTGTCATTTGGTGGCGCACTTTTGGCGAGAGTCGGAAATCCGGAAACAGTCGACCGTTTCACGATAGGTGGGCGTGGCTACAACACGAGAAATATCCCAAATTTACTTGGATACGAGTAATCATTTTCAGCAAAAAAATCAATAACTGCCCATTTCAGTGGGACATAGATCTAAAATGGGAAACGTGAGGGTGGGCATTGCACAGGCACTTTAATGACTCGAGATCAACGGACATCTGTCAGTAAATTTACTTTGTTGTTAACGATATGATTTAAGAGTTTTTTCAACGCTGACCAGTACCAGAACGGCAGGCATCATTTGCATATGTGCTACTAAAATTTTAAAACGGTGACGAACTTCTTGACAACCGTTGATTAGGTTTATTGAACTTATATTGTGCCATGTGTTTCGCATATTCTCATGAAGCAATACAAATTTTACATCATAAAATGTATCAGCTTTTTGTTAAGTGGTCCTAGATATAATACATATTACATAATACTAGTGATTGTAAGATCCTATTTTGTGTATATATATATATATGGATTTATGATGGATCTAAAAAAAGGAAATAATATTAACAATTATAGTAATTAAAGTTTTTTTACAGATGTCAGCTAAAACGCGTGTGAGATATGAAGTCGTATGTATGTGAAACTCCATTTCAAATTCACCCTAATTTTACCTTCTCCACGCACATAAATTTGTTTCACCCAAGTTTAGTGGCGATTACTCACGACCACTAAACGAACACGTTGACTCAAGCAACACACCCTAAGCCGCAAATCTAGTAACACGCGTGCTGCCATCATTATAATGCCAAGTTGATTAATATAAATAACCTTTGACATCGAATTTACTACCAGGATAAACTGTGTTGTTTATTCATGCTAAAGCAATAAGGCTGCTTAAAGAAAACCGTGATTTCCAACTATGCACACAAGCGTGACAATTCAAAATTCCGACACAGATAATTTTAATTAACTTTACTGGATGGTTCTTTTGGAAACAACAAGGTCGTATGCGTATACGTGTAACCAAGTGTTGCTAACTGTCTGTACCCCAATTGAAACACTGGTGAGGTTACTTTATGAATTATTTAATCATTTGCGTGAATAATTTTTGTTTATAGTGAAAACCTCGTATTTACAAAATCAATATTGGACATACACTAATAATCAAGTCAAGATTTAATATCGATTTTTATGATGCTTTTTTGTTAACCAGACTGAATACAAAATTCAAATTGCATTATAATAACAATGACACGTAAATTGTGAACGGAAATGACATTGTATCAAGGGAATAACGCTGTTGATATTGAGAATGCAATGTAACCTATCACAATTCTGAGATATGAGGAAATGTTTCAACCATATAAACATGTGCAAAATACTAATGCTAACCATTTTTAATGACATCTCAACACATTGTGATGAATATTTGATATTTAGATGACATTATCTTATATATAAAACTTATATCATCTTCAATTCTGCTTGAAGAATGGTACTGTCAACTTGGTGGTAACAGACGAGCACACAACAACAGATTCACGGTACAGATAGATTGTGCATTAACACATTGTTACAGAATATTATTCTTTCTCACATAATAAAATGTGTCCAAGACAACCAACACAATAATTATTGAAAACAAAATGGACGCAAACATGTAGATAGGCAGCTGACGTAACGTTTGTTCTGTTGACGTATATTTAGAATCAACGACTATTGGTGTTGTCGCAATCTCTGTTAATTCAGCTGGAGCTTCACTACTATTACTTGCCATGGGTGTTACCGATGCAGATGGTGCGAATTGTGTAGTCATCATAGAAGTTACATCGTGTGTTGATGGCCAAGTAGTAGTCGGTTCTGTGAACATAAAGCACAACTATATTTAACCTACATTGAGTAAGGACCATACAATAATTCCTTGAAAAGCTGAGGGAGACGCCAGTGACTCTGCACAATTAACAGACAATTATAAACCACGAACACTCCGAATATAAATATATGAATATTCCCTCACTGGCCACATTTATTTGATGTAAATGATGCAATTCTAGAAAAGCATTCTGTCTAGTTTTATGTCAAGTGATATCGTCAATATTATTGTCTAATCTCGTGTGTTTTACAATGGTTGAGATAAAACCACAAATGTATCTGTTTTGGATATATTATCATTGACTAATTGGTACTAAAAAGCACAACTCATAGAGGTGGATCAATTTCTGACGCTTTGTTAAGATAGTCGAACTAACACAGTTATGGCTTACAGAAAATGATAGTGCTTCTTCATTCATTCGGGCGTCTTTACAAGCATCACATCAATGGGACTCACCGGTAATATTCTTCTCACAAAGAAATATTAGAGGGTATTGACAAAAAACTGGTAGATAACCCCAAGGATTCCCTAACACCAAAGAAATACAATCCCCGGTCATCATTTGCAGAGCATCTTCTATGTCCTCCTGATAACTGGGTGCTTCATACCATGGTAGATATGTTATAATCCCACCATAAACAGTCCTATATACGTTTGATTCCCCAGTATCCGTCAACCCAACCCACGCTGCTGTGCCACTGCTGTAAAGTAATGTAAGTCAAATAGTTATTGCATTTTGTAAGAATTTGATAAAATAAAAATGGTTTCAAACTTGTTCTATAATTATTAATTTCGTCACAGGTCATCGACTTTAGTAAGACATATTTATCTAATAATGTGTGCCACCGTAGGAAACCGTTATTATAGGGATCCTCCGATTTGTTTTGAAACTGATAGCCTTAATTCGAATACTGAATATAATTTTAATTTTCAGCAATCTACAATGTTCAATGTTCACTCCAGTACCGTTTAGTAATGTACGGAATACGGCATCAAGGAACCCATTATAGTAAATGGTATAACAATCTGTGGCAGTCCACAAGTAATTTTTGAAAAGTGGAAATCACGCTACCGATTCTTAAAAATACGAACTGTATTGTTATTCAGATCACACTAGACTGTATAGTGAGCTATATAATCTTCCAAAGATTTGTTTCAAATTATTTTTGGGAATCTGAAACCACTTCCTATCTAATAACGCATAATCAACATTTAATGGATATCATTCGAAATCTAATTTAATTTAATTTTACTTACGGTTGATGTTCAAGTAAGAAATTTTTGACTGCAATTAACTCATCGCCGTCTTCAATAATAACCAGACTCCCCATGTTTCCATTTTTACAGAATGCATTCGCCATGTTCCAGTTCTCCTCGATGAGTAGTGGCACATAGTAGGCATGTCCGTTGTAGTTCATTGACACTAAAGAAAATCAAATGATTGCGGAAATGATTCATAAAATCATAGAGTGCATACATCCATTACAACATCTCACATTGTTTTTTTTACGTATCTAGAAGGTATATATAAGATGCTATACTTTTTTATGCAATATTGATTATTTAGTGTATATGTTTGAATACACAAAAATCACAGTGCCAAAGTTAATTAGGAATATCTCACCTGTAACACTTGCGCGAATCGCCGTTCGAATCATGCTACATAAGCACAGTATAGCAAACAACAAAATAGCCATTGCAAGTTGAATCATTTGTATCGTAATGAACTTCAATAATGCTTGTGTCTCAACATTAAGCAGTCATGTAGTCGAACGCATGCTTTATCGATCTGCTGAAGTATGCAATTTTGTTTCAATACAATCGTCATGAAAAGTCACGTTCCGTTGCCGTGCAACCATTGGATTTAATAAAAGGCACTCAAGACTTTGACAATAATGTACAAAATAAAGAGTACATATTTGTTCACATATACTTTAAAATGTAAACAGAAAAACGCATTAAAAAGATATTTTTCTGGTTCTTGAATACGTTTGAATGTAAATATAGTTGTAGATATAGTTTTTTACCACGAAATGCATATACGAATTTAAATTCACAATAATGAAAACCATACTGATCATAAATTAAAACAAGGGTGCATCTGACTGCTGCATTGGAGCCTATTATTCATTTGTCATTAAACAGCTAGTGTAAACATCGTGAGTAATTACACGCACATGCTTCACATGGTATATAGACGAATATCTATAGATAATTCATATTATCGTAATAGTTATTGTAATATTAACGTTTGTTTATTGATCAACGTTATTTGTTGCTCCCTAATACAATGAATTTTAATTCTCATTAAACATGATGACTAAATTTTAGCATTTGTGATCGACACCCGACCGTAAAACCTAATGCTTTTTGTTGTATATATATGCTTCGACTCAACTGCAACTCTATTCCAATTGATAAGGTTTGAATATACAGTTCTTATGTCAGTTTCGACACTTAGCAAATAACCAGATCAAGTATATCCGTACTTATAGACTGATAATTATTCGGGACACTCATGCGTTTCGCTTCATCTACCGGGAATTACATCTGACTCATTTGTTTTGGAATTTTATTATAATATGTATGATAGTGATAGTTCCCCGTATCACACAGTGACAGTTCCCCGTATCACACAGTGACAGTTTCCCGTATCGAACAGTGGCAGTTCCCCGTATCACACAGTGACAGTTTTCCATATCAATTTTGATTGGCAGTTCTTGTGGGGATTATACATACCAAGTTTACATTGAAAATGGAAGTTAGAAAATGTAACGCCACATTTTGTCTGGGTACCCACTTTTAAACCTGTCGTTTTTAATATCAAAAACGTGTGCGAAATTACAATATCAACACCTCGAAGAGTCGGCGATATAGTGACCATTATGAAATACCAGCCGAATACTTGCTAACCGGCGGTAATAGATCGTGGAACAACGTTTCTCTCCTCTTGTTTCTAATTCACTCAATCGCTTCCTGGCAACGCATTGGATTATTTTATAATAGCAGCCGATCAATTACGGCAAAACTGTGCTCTAGCATCATAATATCCGCATATTTCATTGTGAATTATTGTAGTAAACCTTTTTCAGATCAAAAATGTTTGCGGGACTAAATGAATGCCGCCCAAAGTATATGAATCAAAATGTATACACAATATATGTCAGGATAATGCCATTGCTCTAATTACAATCCTCTTCTCCCCCCTTGGAGACTAAATATGACGGTATTATCCAGTACACGTAATATAGAATGTGTTTACTATGTAGATTTGAATATTGTCTGACAAACAGTGCTACGTACATCAAATAGAATAGAACTTCTGTCCAAAATAATGGGACTCGCTATTTAGAATACGACTTGACTTGCAACCTGACACCAATTTTAGTTATTGCTTTGATATACAAAACATGTATTTAAAAAACAAATCTGAGCAATTTCCACACATTTCTAATGTGATTATTTTGTATTGAAATGAACCTACTAAAAGCAGGGTAGAAATCTGGACACCTCTGATGTCATGTCGTTTGCAATACCCTATGCTAATGAAGAGCTAATTGGGTTTTGAATTAACTTAATGTGTAGCAGTCCTATTTTAGTGAAATGTTTTCGAGTTTATTCAGAGCTGTGTACATTTCCTATATTTATTATATATAGTTATCTTTCCTAAAGTAAGGTGTGGAGTACTGATGTCTTGAGGGTGCCAGATGTTGATTTCTTTTCACCGCTAGGCTCCTGTCCGTAGTCTAAATTATAAACACTATACTTATTATATATTTATCTTTCCTAAAGTAAGGTGTGGAGCACTGATGTATTGCGGGTACCAGATTGTGTCTTTTTCACCACTATGGTCCTGTCCAGACACTCCAGGCTTGCTAGATAGCTCGTCTTGCATGTGTGAGATACAGTTTTTTTTAATGTTTTAATTGCCAAATTCTAGCTTCGTGTCACAACAAATGATTCAATGTTATCTTAGTATTTGGCTTTTCGCAATGATTTTTTTTAAATATATACATTCCATTGACATTTATAAAATGAATTAAACACATTATCATATAGTTTCATTTATTCATGCAACTAGTTATCCTACATTAATTTCAACAAACTTGAAAATACTTTCACGAAACACCAACATCAAGTATCAAAGCGTCAATTGCAAATAATGGAATGGTACATCTTAGAACAGAGGAGCGCGCCCGTTCTTTAGAAAAGCTTAATATGATGCTAGCGCTAACGCACTTCTAGATTCCCTCATACCCGCATTGAGCGCGCTATGGTTATAGAATATTACTGGAGGAAGTTTATAGCTGTAAATATTATAAACCATCGCTAAAGTACAAAAATCGTCGATCAGGTGTGTAGTACAAGCTAGACGTTGATATAATTACAATCCAAATGCACTGCTATAGAAGATGAGACATATAATCGAGCCTGCTTCAGCTAACTGTTGATTCCAAGGGAACGCAACAGTTGTTGTCATTAAATAATTCTATTTGACTGCTACAAGTTTGCTGGACAACTGAAATTAAATAATATGAGAAAAAAATGCGTTTATATCACACATGATATAAATCAAATATTAGCACATATTATGAAACGAAATTTGAAGTAGGTGTTTGTAAACATCAATTTTATGTATCATACCTTCCAGGTACCAGCCAGCTATTTCCAAACTCCTCAGCAGTAGTTGCAATGTCGCCATTTGGCTTCTGGAAATCGTTGTCTTGGGAACCGTCTGCGTCTCCAAATAATCCGTGTACACTACCTCTCAGATTATCATCGCGTAGAATGACGTCAACTTTGTGTATATTGCCTTTCCATGTTATAGTTATATCGGGTTCGTTTATGTTCACCACAGATGCTCCATTTTCCGTTTGTACAAGCACTGAATTGTTACTAAGTGTTAGGGGATGGGTATTTGACATGTTATTCCCATTAACCTGTGAAAATAAAAATCGAGTTACAACCGATATTCTATAATATGTGTCCAGCTTTGTTTTTATTTACAAAAACAATCAACATGTAGTATGAAACAATATTGATATTTACATGTTCCCAGCAAAGGTGCAACTTTCAGAATGTGTCATGTTTTCAATCAATCAATCATGTTTATAACTTGTGTATGGTAATAAACTTCAGACGCCGCCGAAATCTAGTTGACAGCAAGAGGGCCACAAGACTTGTTGTTCCCCCTAAAATTATGATCCATTCTCCCCTATCAGTAAATCGACTGTTCCGGTCACGTTAGAGCAGTAGACGCGTTGACGAGAAAGGATGAAACGATTCTCGCTGTCAACGACATTTCGGCGGCCATTTGTGTTTCAGGTCAATTCACATAACACAAATAGCTTAGCTGCAACATAAAACGTAGATGTGGGTAAAATTACTGACGTACTAATATGGTGTTGTCCTCCATCAGTTGAATGAACTCTTTTCCTTCAACGGCAATGTTGATGGTTATCATTCTGGTTGGTGGTTTATATGGAGTCCGTGGATTTTGACTCCGGAAATCAGCTGTTATCTCGAATGATACTCCATCGTATTTGGGACTATTACGCACGATTGTGTATGTGCAGTATCCTTGGAAGTCGTACTTGAGTCCATCAAACGTTCTCAAGTGGGGGTCACCTTGGCCCACTCCTAATGGAATGTGGAAGCACACATTTGTGAAATTAGAGGAGTTGGCTTTTCAGGAATCTTGTGCGAATACTCGCTGGCAAAATCTGCGTCTATGTTGTATTCACTATCATTACTATTTTACTCATAAAAACAAAAACAAAAACAAAACAGCTTCATATAAACTTTGTAGTATTTCGTCACATATTTGAATAACCTGTGTCTATTTTAATGGTGCTTGCATGTTATTGGGTATTCTCTGGAAGCGTTTCTTACTACGACATTACTAAAAAATATTTCAAGTGGTTTGCCTTCAAATAAATTGTCTGTAGTTGCCTTGGTGATACTTACCATCGGGTAGATTTGGTTGTTGACCTGAATCTGTTGAGATAATTAGAAATAATGACAATAAACAGTTTTGTCTGCCAAATTAATACCTGTCATTCTATATTTTAACGCGCATCTGTGTATGTTAGGAATATTGTCTACCTTCTATCAATTTGGGGTAAGGTGATAGTTTAAATACATCTCAACTGTTTCCCTAAGCAAAAATAGCAAAACCCTTCGAATTACCCGCATGTGATTTAATTACTGTGATATTCATACTGTTTCTGGAGTTAGAAGATATTGTTATCTCTACAAACCATGCCTATAGTAGTCCTGTTAGTTAATCTTACTGAAAGGCCATGGTGATGACGCGTCTGAATATGTTGAAATTATTAGTACCGACTGATGTGAAATGAGAACCTTTGATAGTTTTTGAAGATCTCGTTTAGATGATGTGTTACCTTGCCGTAACCAGTGCACAGACTTTCTTTGATCTATCAACACACATGACTACCCTGTCTTGCAAGTACAACAAGAGTACATGGCATTACAAACACGTAATGATTCAATATAATGCCTGAAACAGTCAATTGGATTAGATTTTGAATTTAATAGCAAAATTGACCCCTTACTTGTATATTTGCTGTCACAACATAGTCCCATCCATCCTTCATCACATCTACACGTGGCATTGCAGTTATCCAAGGCAACACACGTACCATGTCCGGAACATTCTGTCAGGAGACAAGTCACGTAATTATTATGAATGCTTACACAAATGACATTCATCATTAAGTCACTATAAATTAATACAATATAATAATAATGACTTTTCAAATTTGTTCTAAATTTATATAGCAAGTGTATAAACATCATTACAAGAATGAAGTTACATAAACATCGCTTGTGCACATTATGTAAAGCAACATAGTTACAAATTAAAACAATCAACTACATTGCCAACACATTACGTACGACAGCGATGTACATCATGCCACGTGTAGCATTTACGTTAGCGGCATTGTTCACAACACGAATTTATAGCATATGATGCAATGGGTGCAGGTTGGGGAAAACACCGAGCAGTACACTTACCTGGGGATGCCGCACAAGGTGCACACTCCGGTTCGGTACAAAATTCACCCTTTCTTCCAACAACACACACATACGATATACCACAAATGTATAGAGGCCTGCAAACACATTCACCGTCTACGAGTACTGGCTCTTCATCTTCCGTGCATGCACAGTCGTCTACACACACACAGCCGTCTTCAGTTGTTCCAGGCATAAGCTCTTTGTCACATGTGCAATCGACAGGTGACACTGCTCCGTCAAGTTCACGCTTCGTCCTGGAAATGCACTGAAGGAATAAGGTCAAAATAATCACTGCACACACACTGCACAAGCTATGCTATTAAAATCCTTTACAAATAGTATGATTTGTGCGAGTTCAATGATCACGTCTTAGAAAGTGAAACTACTGTATTTGTTTAATGATTAGTGGTTTCAAAACAATTTTAGGCGCAAAAAGTCCAGAGATCTTGCATAGGTTGGGACGGGAACGCATTTTGTACCCTATTCTGCTATTACTATTATCTATAATTCATATTATATTGGAAGGGTTGACCCTATGGAGCACATTTTAAGGGGCACAAACAAAATGCCTAATACACAATTCTAAATGCAACAGCAATTTATCAGGAAATTGTTTGACTGCATTAATATGCATTCACCATTTAAACAAGATCGAACATTTAAAATAAGTCTGTCATACGCTTATTCATGTTTCTTATACATGCTGACTGCAAGCATGCTAAGATACGTTCACGTTTTTGTACGTGCTGACAGCATGTGGGGAATCTCTCGGAATCTATACGCACGGCGGGTGCCACTGGTGGATCCAGAAATTCGTTAAGGGGGCGCTCCTACTTTCGTAGGCTCCGGTGGGCTGGGTTTGTCAATTGATTCGTCAATTTTGTTGGAGGCTGAAGTGGGTGGCGCCTGGCGCGCCTCTCCCTAAATCCGCGTGGGTGCCGCATTGTTTGTTGTGTGTCAATTGAGGTTAAGAGGTAATTCCTATGACGCACTGCCACCAAGAGAGACATAGTGAAAAGACAGTGCAATAAAACGAGTACTGTGTACAACTTTTGCAATTATGTCGACCAGAAAGAGCATTTTATTTAAACATAGTAAATATACTTACAGGACATGTACCATCAACGTTCATTGCCATGATGTTTCCATCAGGACACAAGCAAGGACATTCAGGATACACTGGAAGCATTGGTGTGCCATCTGGACAAGATGCACATACACATGTATCTTCATCATTCTGTAAAACAAATGTGAAACAAATTTTCATCATACAAAGATGCATTTTGAAAAAAAAACGTCGACGAACAGAATATGTCGATTCATACACGTTTCATTATACTGCACTATGTTTGCTATTACCAAATATCCCCCAATTGTCTTCCTGTTATCACACCAGCATTTGCACCTTGTACACGCGCCATTGGTTAAATCCAGTATACCAGGCATGCCGTCCGAACATACACAGCATGGCAAGCCCAGGAAAGTACCTAAACACCAACTGAAATTACAAATAGTTGAAAAACACAATGTTTGTCAGTGATTGTTAGACGTTGCTGCTGTATTGTGTAATCGAATATGCAATTATTGATATGTGTACATATACACAGTAGGATCGATGAAAAATATACCTATAGAATCAAGTGATGCCAATATAAAAAGTTTAAAATGCAATCTTACAGTGAAAAAGTACTATGCTGTAAGTTCTAGTTATTGTAATGCTTGCTATATATTATGTAAATACATGGAAATCTACCGTTAACTGTGAAGTAACTAACAAGAACTTAAATACAACTTTGAGCAAACATCACAATTGCCACCAAAATATGTGACATATAATCATATGGCTCATAAACCACCCCCAATTATTGTCAGATGTGAATTTTCAGTGTGCGTGAATTTATTGTGCTTTGAAATCTATTAAAACACTATTAGATACGGCAGATGATGAATATTTTCTGCTGGTATGCCATGTGGCTCTAACCAATATGGCCATAACCCAGTGACCAGTTCAACCAATTTAAAGGCAGTGTGTAAATTTTGGTATTGTAATAGGAATGTATGATGACAACACCCTGACTGTAAACTTATTTTGGACGGGTCTGCTAAAAGAAATTTGCACACAAAATACACAAGGTAGACAATGACCAACTAAGTAATATTCACCAATGTTATTTTGAAATGTAGTCAGCTGGTCCATATACTGTATGCAAGTGGTTCTCTTTTCTCTAGATGGTTATGCATTAGATTATGAACATGACAAAGTGAGTGCATCAGGTACCTATGTATCTATTCAGAATGTAGTAAATTTAGCATTCAATGTGGCATGGCTCCAAGAGTCTTTGCAAGGTCTATGCCTTGAAAGGTAGGGTTTGTTTATAATGGCATTTGTTCCTAATCATTTCAGACACTAATACTGAGGGTTTTCCATTCACATGGAAGAAGTAAATGATGAAGTTTTGAATACAGAAAAATATTCATGCAAATGATTAGACCTGAAGTATGTTTATATGGTGTTCATGCAGGAAACAGATTTCCAACCTAAGTATTTATTAAGTGGAGGAAGTGAATCGGTAAACTCTATTTGACGATTATGAATTTGACCACATAGCAAGCTATTCCAAGATTTCATTGCTTAATCTTGTTTGTGCCATAGCCAGTGTAAGCAATCCAGAGAATCCAACAAGTCACATGTTTCTGCAAAAAATTGGCTCCTCGCTTACCATGACAAAACATTTGTTTTATTCTGGCTATGCAGAAGTTGAATGCATTACTCAACGAGTACTGTCATCTTGTTATTTTTCTTACATTAATATAATAATGCTTATGCAGAACCATTTGTCATTAAGGAGATTACACACGTTAGTCGAATGTAAACTGCGTGCAGACACCTGAATAGTGACCGTGGTAACTCTGAGGAACAAAGCTATAGATAGATACACTACATTAGATTCAGCAGGCGATCACAGCACATAACATTTGGCATATCCTTTTGACACGACGCCATGTGACACCTAGTCACAGTACCAGTCACATTAGTAACAGTAGAAGCTGCAGAAATTAATTGTTTTATGTTTTACCAAAAGGAATCACAATCATATATTGCACTATTCTTATAGTGGTCCGGCAAATATATCATCTGGTTTCTGACCTAGGAAGATCCTCAAGAACTAGGTCAGTCAAGAACTATGTTCTAAAATCACTATGGGTACAGAAATTCTTACAGAATCCATAGAGTGGACACTAGAGTTGTGATATTACATCTATCATCTGTACTGTTGACTAGCATAATATCGTGAAAAATACAAATGCCTTTTCTCGTATCTTCTGATAATAACATCATTAATATGAGCACACTTACCCAGTTGTGTTATACCAATCCGGAGTCTGGAACGTGAATAAATTTACGGACTCGTCGACAAGTTTGAAGAGTTTAAAATTGGCATCACCCGTAATAGCTGGTATACCTCCTTCAACATCCACTCTCACTTGTTTATCAGGGTCTGCACACTTCCCACTACACAGTGATGCAGACACTTTACCTTTGATGGTTGTTGCTATGCCTAAAGTTATTTCAACGTCATTGGTTGTTGCAATACCAGAGTCATCGTTAGCTGAAATGGGACATCATTTTACTAAATAATGATAATAATTTATTCCATACAAAGAAAATACTACTGGAGCATGCTTATGATTGAACGAAACACACGAAAAGAAAAATAGTTGTTCAGAATTCCAATTATGGTCATATCTACATCTACGAATGTCTTTCTGTAATGGATACATCATATTGTTGAACTTAATAATAATATATTCCATGCATCATGAAATGGTACTTTAACAAATACCAGGTTTCGCTTCTTCCTTTACAAATATATATAAAAGTTTTTTAATGTGCGATTTGAATTTTCTAGACGTTGTAAGTTCCCCTAGGTTTCCGCAACTCATTAAACAGTTTCTCGTTCCATTGTTCTTCATTATTTAGTCCTTAAATAGACTGCTTAAACTGTATTGAATAATTGTTTTGTTTTTTTTACTTTCATGATTAATTTCCTTAATCCATCGTCTATTCAAACTTTCACTTAATATATTTCACTTAACTTTCATTTAATATATTTTTAAATGTCACACTTACGAAGTAACTGTTTCATCCATTTTGGAAGCTTCTTCGTTAACTTCTGCAGGTTCACGCCTTGTGGTGGTAGTTGTGCATTGAACTGTGGTACGATAGCTGCTTCTGCAACTGCACTTGCAAGCCCAGCTGTGTTGAATGATGCCGAGGCAGACACAAATGGTTCAAAGGATACCTGTTTAAAGAAGATCGAGAATATACTACACATCAATATAATTTATGCACATCAAGCAAAGACAGGGCTGAACTACATAATTTCACAGCACATTTACTCGCTGATGTCTGAAGTGGTATACCCGTATTTTTATGATAGATCCGTTGATATACAGGTAGATTTCAAAACTAAATTAATTTGGCAATAAAATAATTCACATTGATACATGTGCATGATGAAAAACGTATTAAATGGCAGGTTCAAATAGCAAATCCGCAATGTTTAGTTACACAATACCTTGGGCCTGTTGAGTCGCACACCTTCAGCTTTCGTCCATGTTGCCCCGGTAGTTAGATTAGACGATGCACCTACTTCTCCAGTAACTGTACCCTCTATCTAAATATGAATTAACATATTAAGTATTGTTTTGAATGTGAGATTATGTAGATGTCAAATTAGTTTATTTAAAATATTTTAATCTGACAGTATAATGAACGAGATTAATATGAAATAACTAACACTATCAATTGAATCACTATTTTAAGGTCTCAACAGAATTACTATTTTGTCTATGTGGTATCAAAATTAGAATTCTGAATTTTGTTAATATCTGGAATCCGGAATTGTGATGAAATTGGGGTAAATAGACGATAACAAATTATAATAACGTGAAATAAATCTACCTTATATCCTACTGAACCTTTGATATCGACTACAAACTGGAACACCCCTGGTACAAATATGTAGGGAATAACGAATCTCCCTACAGTTATATCAAGTAAATTATGAGACCAGCTTGCGTCACCTCTGAAAGAAAAAAATACATAGTAGGAGTCATTTAAGCTCCAATACATTTACAATACATAGGTAACGCGTTCGGGACAAAAGAATATATAGATCATTGTTTTAGTTTGCATTCGCATGAGGTTAATAAGATATAACATGATATATGACCCGCACAACACCGTGTAACTAAAGTGTTATTCACCTCATGCACTCAGTTTGATTGATAATTAAATAAATTCTAAATAAAATAAAATAAAATAAAATAAAATAAAATAAAATAAAATAAAATAAAATAAAATAAAATAAAATAAAATAAAATAAAATAAACACAAAATAGACAGTACAGAAATCGAGTAACGTATTTTACAAAATTGTTATTTTTACCAGCAATTTACTTGTCAAAATTGTGTATCTTGTCTGTGACCCTAAACAGACCAGCTTAAATAAAAAAATTATTTCACCTCAATTGTTGACCAACAAATATTGTATATTGTGTCTAAGAAATACTAGCTAAAAAGCATGGACCACTATACATCTACAAAATGTCAGTAAAATGTGCATTTCAATATAATTTGCCTTTGTACAAATTTTAAACAAAAATGCTCCATGTGTGTCCAAATACCAGAAAAAAATATCACATTTTCATTCACTTGTTTGACCAAAAATCTTTATATTATCCCCCAAAACATTAACTAAAAATGCATTGATACCAAAAAATGACAATAAAATATGTGGTCTATTATAATTTGCATTTGTACTAATTTTGGAACAGAATTACTGACATGTTGCATAACAACGCATTAAATGTGGATGAATCCAATTAAAACTCCATAATAAATTACCCATGTAAGAATTAACATGTCAGAGATATAAGACTGCACAGACAGCAGTAGAATGGACGGAAACCAAATGTTACTTTTCAGATTCTGTCCAGTGGGAACTGAAATCAAGTACTCACGCCATATTCCAGTTCAACACAGTCTCCAGAGATGCTGTGAGCTTTCCGTCAAACCCGACACCAACACGAGTGATACCTCCCCACCAGTTAACATCAAAATTCAATGAGAACGTCGGTGAGAAGTCAACTTTTGGAGTAACATTAAATGTCACTGGACCATCCTGAGTTAGGGTTAGTAGAAACAAAATTATCATTATGTGTTATAATTCGAAACGTAGAATTATAATTCTCGAGACGTGTGTGTGTCAATCTGATTTGGCACGATAGTATTGGAGTATCAATTGGTGCAAAAATACCACACCCAACATCAACTTCAACCTGCCACATACACTAATGCATCACTAACATAAAATTAAATGAATTAAATGCAAATACTTATTGTATACCTACTTCGAATGGGAATGTATTTGATAAAGAAAACTCCGGATTCCATGATAATTCTTTTCGTTTACGTCTTCGTACTGGTACAAGGCCACCAACGTCTACGTACAAAAGGTCGTCGTTGGTGGATATTTCAAGGAGTTCAATAAACACACGACCATCATAAATACGAGAATTCACGACCTATTAACAATACACGACGTTGTTATTAAACATATTTTATGAGACTAAAACAAAACGATCATCCATGTGCTGTACGGTGGGAATGCTAAACAACATATCAACAGAAGAAAGTGTGTCAGTGAACGCCAAACGATGATGTGCAACGTTAACTGATAACAAACATCAATCCTTCAAAAAAAAATGTTACAGACAAAATAACACATTACCTTTCCAAGAAACGCACTGCTTGACATTCCAATTACCGTATCACCTACAACGATATCTAGATCCGACGAAGGAATATTTTCTAGAATAAGGAGTCCGGGTATTTTATTTCCTCCACTGCATACGAGATCAACAATGACTTCACTCCCAGTAGCATCGTGTATCTCTGTCTTAACTCTAATATAATAACGAATAACCATGTATTATAAACATGTCACGAGAAAATATTACTGTAGAGTAATACCTGTGTGTACGTTTTGGGGTATCGTTACGGTACGTGTTTATCATTGTGCTACAGCCACCCTACTAATTTATATACTTATTTGACAGTTTGTTTTTCCGTCTTTCATGCAAAATATATTGACTGTACGATATTTATATTTACACACATATCAACTCAGTATTGACGATATAGTACCTACCTATTGTTTTAATTGCATAATATGTTAATTCACACACCTGCAACTTGACGATATAGTAGACTAGCAATTTCAATGTTTGAAGAGTTATACTTATGCGTTATACTTTTAGTAAATTCTAGATGATCCAATGATCGATCAAAAAGTTGATTGGACAGTTACATGCGATTAGTAACCAAATCTGATTATACATATCCCTCGGGCGGAGTACGTCACGAAACGTTCTACGTTGCTATGACGCGCATCACTGTACCATGTATTTCTATGGACTGCTGAAGAACGCCGGTCGAAAAGCCGGTGAAAATAACTAAATTCAAGAAAACACGGGGTGACCTTGTTACACTGTTCAGGGGAGTCTCAGCATCCATCTCAAAGTACCGTTTTCTGCGAGTTTTCGGCCTTTCTTTTCACCGTGATGGTTGCCAGGCGGTGAAAATGCTCGGATGTCCGCCCCAAAAGTATCATTGCGGGATATCTATTAAATCATGAATATGTAATTTATTCATTTGGCTGATGTTACCAGTACAACTCACCTTGGCTGGAAACTTGTTGCACTACTACAATGCGTAAGCTGCGTTGTCACAAATGTCGCATTCATCTCGCTGTCGTCAATGTCAACAACGTCGGCCAAGAAACCATTGGAGTGGTTCGATACTACGATGTCGCCCTCTTGGAATATCACAGTATCCGGATGAACAATGAAAAACGTCTTTACAGTTCTCTTAGAGTTGTCCACTTCGAGTTCGTAAACATTACCAAGACATTTGTAAACCTCAGTTGCTATAAGATCAATTGAGATATATTTAGAGCTCTGTGGTGGGAGTTATAAAATCAAATTATATAAATTATATCAAAGTATATTTAATATTTTTCTATTTTTTTTCAAAACACCAGTGAGTACTATGTCTGCTTTTTTATCATAGAACATATTAGAGATGGAATCTCATTTAACGCATCTAAATTAACATAACATACAGTGGCGTATTTTGAGGGCGCTCGCGAACTTGGCCTTCGGTCAACTTATCGCCCCCCCCCCCTGTTCCAGAACCCGAGATCCGACCCTGACATTTACAGTTCTTCTAAGCAGTCATCTGTTTTAGATTTTTCGTCATTCCGAAAACGTCTTGACACCTTGCATAATACCAGACAACATTTTTTTCGTCTGTATGTACGATTACATTCAGTGCCTAATGGATGAATTAAAACTTCATTTGAATGGAAATGATCCTCTCTCTACCTTATCTGACTAAAAAATATACAACAGTCATTCATGTTTGTATTCCACTGAACAGTATTTATAAATCTCGACATAGTTTGTATTGGATACCCACAACTTAGGAAGTACCTCACAAACAATGGTTTTAGGCGGGCCGAGTAGATGTACGACTTAGCGGTTATCGCAATTATTTACAATAATATAACTTATACTATTAAAAATGTGTTGGTCGGCATTGTGACATCGTTTATAAAACTAGTGGCATTAATCAAATGTGGATTTTTAAAATTTCTAAATATTTGGTAATGATTTCAATAACATCAGTGCTTTTGATTTTGCTATATTATACACTAATACATCACACAATAAACTCAAATCAAAGCTTCTTTGGTAACGCAGGTCTTCTATTACAGTTCTCTATTTTGTTAAGATTGATCGACCTATAATGGACCGAACAACCTTTTTTTGTTTCGTAAGGCATTGAACACTTCTCCTGTTGTGACATCGATATTGAATATACTATTATTATTACTTGCCCTCGTTTATTATGTGTATGCTGCCATCAACGACGGTCTCCCCATTTATCAACCCTAATGCTATACTATCACTGATTGCATTCTCGTGTACGAGGCTGTCTTCTATCTGTATCACTTCTACATCCTGTTTGAAATTTGCATATGCAATAACGTCTTCCAGTGGAGCAGGTTTTCCTAGAATAAGTGTGTAAGTTTCTGTGGAAAGACGGAAAGTAATATTTGTGAAAAGTATTACAGTGAATGAAGCTACGTATTTGTTGATGTCGACAAACAAACACATTTTCAAGCACAATTCCAATTTTGTTCAAATTCATCTTTCGAACGAGATGAACTTCCAGCGCGTGCGCAGATGACGACCCTTTTCTAAGAACTTACCCATCTGTGTGATACCCAACACTGCATGTAATATTCCATCCGATTGTATACTTGCAATGATATCGCCCTCAGCGATATCCAGGGTTTCTTGAGTGACTATCAACAACGAATCGTCCGATTCATCATTAGCGTTCAAAGCTGGACACGAGTACAGTATGGCATCTCCTTCGTTGATCAGTTTCACATTACTATTTAAGACAGAATTCTGGACGCGTGTTGTATCTGAATAGTCTGGATGTAGGATACCGCCAGGGCACACAGCCTCGTCCCAGCCCCGACAACCAGTGGGCTGAAAATATAATACAACAATCTTTACACAAAGAAACACATCATATTATCAAAAAAACACGAAGAAACTAATTGGTTCACTATCCACACAAAACTGCAATTATAACTACAATACGTACTGACGATATAGAGGCCAAAAATATCGTTAAGTGTTTTGAAAAATGAGAATAGCTTACGATATATCAAATGACGCTTTAGAATGATTTATGTTAGACGTCCATGGTCTGCCGTAGACAAATCAGATTTGAGACCGACTTGCCTTCATACAATTATTGTAGCTGATATTATGAGCGTTTTGGTGAATATGATAAGTATTAACCATGAAGTAGCATACATTTAAAAATAAAGGCGCTAGCATCGGTGAGGACCATGTATATAAAAAAGTTACTTTTTTTATAATTCTTCACGCTAGTGCATATTTTTGAATTTCGCTATGTATGACCGACCAACTGTATATAAATCCTTGTTTCGCCGGAAGTAACATTGAACATTCGTACTTAGCTCGTGAAGGATGTTATGAATTGTCACATGATATATTGTAACAATAATGATAACCTACTGTATCCTTGTAACAGTGGTCCACGTCATAGCAGGTCGGGCAACTGCCAGGAAAGTAATTCCCAGTCGAAACAGCACATTGATTTCCTTCGCAATTGATGATCTGTAAGAACAAAAAATATAATAAAATAACATATATTAAATATATTTAACATACAATTATTAGAATATTTTGTCCGCTAAATTCATTTTTTATCACCTTTGTCTGAAAGAATGCTATTTTTGACAAAAATGTTGATCAAACCTGTACCCAATGAACAATTATGTCCATTTGGCTCAAAATTATCAAAAACGTTATAGACAAATAGTTACAAATGAGAAATGCATCTAAATATTTGCGGCATTCACTGGGTAATTACGGGTGACATTAACTATGGTATCATTAATTGTTAGACAAGAAGTGAAAATAAATTAATCAGTTTCCTATGGCCATCGCAATACGTTAACCAAGACCGTAGGAACCGTACCGGCTATGGCCGGACTACTTCTGCACGCCCCCCCCCCCCCCAGTAGACATGGTCCTTCGTCCCACGTCATCTTACGCCTCGGGCCCACAGCCCTCGATGGATGGCCGGACCAACTAATTTTTGTTTCCTACGGCCTTGTAAACCAGTAGGACTAAAGATAATCACAAGGACAAAACTTGGAGGTTTCAGGCATATGTGCATACATCAAATATACAACACAATTAAATTATACACACCTTTATTTTGTCACTGCAATCAGAAGCATCGCGTATTGTGATGCATGAATAGTAAAACCAGGATGGACAGCTGCCTTCATCCGGGCCACTTCCATCTCCGGATGCACAACTCAACGTTGTGTCACACCAGCCACATCCGGTCGATGAAGAGCATTCTTCACACTCGTCAATGGAATCACAATAGCTATATGAGCAATCTCTACCCTACATTGTTATAGCGTATGAAACAACAATTCGTCAAACTTAAGTGCGATTACATATGATGAGAATGAAAACACTGAATAAAATGTATTCGTAAATGGCTGCCGAGATCTCGCTGAGAGTGACAGCGAGAGGAAGAGTCACATGACTTGCCCCCCCCCCCACCCCAAAAAACTGTCCTATTCTGTATTGGCACACTTGCAAATGTCATAGGAGCCAGTAGGCACGATAACGTACACTTTTTACACCCATCTACTGTTTTACATATTTTGTAAACCAGCCACATTAAGATGAAATCTGAATTTAATTTAAACTCATTTCATCCTGCCCACATAGTTACCTGCCATCCATTTATACATTTGCATGTGTTGGGACCGACACAGGTTCCATGGCCAGAACATTCGTTGACATCTCTGCAGTGGAACGAAGAGCAATCATCCCCAGTCCATCCACCGAGGCACAGACAAATATCATCAACACAGATCCCGTTATGTGAACATATCGAGGGGCAAGTATCCGCCGCTATGTAAATACAAACAAAAACACTCATACGTTTTAAGAATTTAAAATTATTGTATGATTAGAGCAGGAAGACACAGTCATACAATCGTGGTATTCTATTGCAATTATTGTTGTAAAAACACGTGAACAAATTAAAGAGTTAAAACTTACTTACTTGGTATTTTACAAACAACTGCAAATGGATGTTTATCAGAACAATCTACGGCTTCGATGCTACTACTAGTTGGGAAACTAATTGTCAGAACACTGCACCCCTGCAAAGCGGTATATACAGTAGTAAAACGATGAGTAATATTAAGTTGTTATATTGTTATAAGTCAGTACTCGAAATTCACTAATACCATGGAGGCGTTTGCATCGATGCTCCACCTGAATTCCTGGATACCCTTCACAATTCCAAGCACGCAAAGACATTTTTCACATTCTGTGACATTGAAATTGGGTTAAAGCCTTATTATACTTACTGGCTGGTCGTCAATCCACACTTGAACCTGTGTGGCACATTTAGGCCCATGGAACATTAGAAAGGCCAACACATCTGTATTATCTGATGAAGTCGGCAGAGTACCTCCCAACTCCTGAAATGAACAAGATTATTTAAGTGATATACAGAATACTAAGTCTCATACCGTGTTCCTGATAAATTGTCAATATTCAGCAATCAATCCGTGTTATACGGTATAAATAATTTGTTTGTGTGTTTGATTTCTCCGACATTAAATACAGGTTTATAGTGGAAATTCTATAACATAGGTCAAATACCATTTTGAAGTTGAAATGATCAGTCATTTCACAGTAATGCAGAACACAGTCACAAGTTGATTGAATGTATCCTTTTTTACCAATGTTTTCAGCGTACGAGTCTGCACCACAATAGGTGAATTTCCGTTCACTGCCATATCTTGCTCATTCGTACTTCTGTCATGATTTATATTTCAGTCAGTTTGACAGTGGTTGCCATGACATATACTGACAAAGGTTAATGACAAGGCCAGATGGCGAGCTAGTCGAAATCAACCAAAAACATCTTATGACTCTGCAGTTTTTAAGATACAATACAGTAGCTGTAAACCTAAACCAATTTTGTTTGCGATTCTAACTTAGGCGGTATCTTTGTGGAATGTTAGTGCAAGACTATTACCCCATAAATATTAGTTAGTGTTGACAATATATAGTAGTGTTTTTCTAGATAGCTTGACGAGTAATTAATTGATTATGATGCGTAAAACTTTCATGTGATTGGTTGTTTGTTTGAAGGCAAGGCCTTGGAGTCCCTTATACTGATTGTAATTGGTTAAGGAGTGACAAGAAATAAAGAGTGATTTAATGCTGTCTTGGATGAAAACCAGGGACTTGGCAGAGAATCGTTGGGAACATGAATGAAGTTTGTGTGTGTCTTTTGTCAGCCTAGCGTGGAAACGACCGAATCCCGGTTACCTAAGTGAAAGGTTTTTAACCATCAAAAATACCTGTCACACTTCATCGTTGCTTGCATTACATCATGTGTGTTTCAGTTTGGTCTGTTTTGTGTATATCATCCATATTCTCTCGCTTTACAGGGCAAACAAAATATTTTATGTTCCGGCCTCCTTTTTCTTCTATACAAATAGCTTTGTAAATTTTCAAGCTATCATTCCTTTTCGATAATATGGGTAGTATAAATCATCATTGCGAAAATCTCACGAAGGATATCTTGTTGACATATTTATAATTTTGGGTTTAGTGTGAATAAGTAGGTTTGTAACAAATTATTTGTATATCTAATACTTCATATTTAATCGAACTATGCAAACTAAAGAGTGGTTTATTGGAGTGCACGGTAACCCCACATATCGTATTGAATATTTTTTTTGTGTGGCGGCCATTTTAGATTTATACAAACGAGGATATTTTTTTCCCTGGCAATCAAATGTACTTATGTGGTTTCACAGTGAGATATCGCATTAACATTGTACTTTACATACCATACACTTAAGTCTAGCATCATCGATGTACAGTGATCCACCGTTTAGACCATAACAGTTACTACCATATAAAACATAGCCGATTGGACACGCATCTGTGAACACCAAAGTCGACAGATTAACAAACATACATGCAAATATGACAACATGTTTGTGACTAGCTTGAATATATGGTGAACCATAAGCACTTTTGGGGGGGCGATGACAGAATTGGAAATAAAACAATAAATTAATGCACAGAAAGAAAATCATGCAAGGATCAATAAAAAAATATTTCACACAGTGGAAATAAATTACATTTCTCATGAAAAATAGCACAAAAACTAAGTGAAGGAAAATATTGTTCTGTCATTGGTCCTCACCATGATGTACCAATGAATTTTTTTTTTCCAGACGAATTATCTACTAGTATTTTGTTCCCCGTTCAATTTCAACATAACTGTGTTCAAATCATGTTATACTTTTTTTATATTTTGTTTTCCAGACGAATTATCTACTAGTATTTTGTTCCCCGTTCAATTTCAACATAACTGTGTTCAAATCATGTTATACTTACCACTTATGACTGGTGACGTCATTCGATATGGCGTGAACACTACATCCGGAAAACCGATGATAACATTATCATCTCGAATTTTCTTTCTGATGTCCTCTCCATACACACTATCCCACCAATTCTCAGTGGCGTCAATTAGTGCATTTGTGGTTCCACTTTCCCCACTGAACTCGTAATCGTTTGAAGGATTTTCGAAATGGTTGTTATAGAAACCGATCCCACTTCCTGTTGTCACCAAGGTTAGTTTTCTACCCGGAGTGTTGCCGCTATTGTAAAGTAGCAAATTGTTGTAACATTCTTGCCATCCGATCGGTGCTGTGTCATGCGACCAGTGCAGAGTATAGAGACCAGTGTTGGACACAAGAAGATTATTCACAACATAAGAAACTACATTGTGCAGTCTTAGCACGCTGTTACCCTCGCCCAGATCATTGCTTATGATCGTATTATCGTGAATATTTACCAAACCACTTTCTTGTTCAGATTCTAGAAAGATCACCTCGCCGCCTGTGTTTCCTTCAAAGTAATTGTTGTAGATGCACGTGGTAGGTGTTGCCTGCGCGGTTTCAATATTATCAGTGTATATACTCACAGCGCCAAGCTGGTTTCCGATAAAACGATTGGCTGAGATATTGAATTCAGTGATGCCTGCGTTCAAGGTAATGGCTGCACTGCATTCATCTGGCGTTGGGGGCGCAAGCATTCCATTGTTATTTATCTGTGAATGTTTTACGTCAACTCTGACACTGCCTTCAGTGCTTACAGTGGTATCGTATGTTATGGCAGACCGTCCATTGTTTTCCAACAGACCCTCACTGATAGATACAACTAGGTTACTGCTCACGATTCCTGTAAAGTAAAACAAAACTAGTCAGAAATTGATTCGTGTTCTGTTGGTCACAGTCGTTGGTAGAACATCGCAATCACTTTCAATCACTAAACATATTACTTTTTCGATTAATTTTAATTTTATTGCAAACTGACTTCAAATTATCCCAACTATGCCACACCATTTTTATAGTAAATGTTCCCTGTTGTTCCGCAATGCTCTCCCCTGAGGCTCCAGGTATATAGAAGGAAAGATGGAGACTAGATTTCAATATGCAAATAGCATTCCATAATGATGCATCCTATACGAATGCTTTGCGAAATCACTCATTTTGGCAAAATGCATGGAGTTGTCATTGTTCTATTGTATTGTATTGTATTGTATTGTATACAATTATGAACATAAGAAACTGGTTTACTCAAATCCTTTAAAGTAAAATGTTAATCTAAGTTGTACATTACAATACGTCCGATCAAGTCGGAAAATGATGTATGAGATATGTTAACATGCGTGATTTAAACACTCGGTAAGCATTGCGATCATTCAAATAGCATTTCTCATGACGAAATGGTGAACTCACAGGTATTGTGGACCCACGGTTTGCCAACGCAGATTGTAATACAATGTACTGACTCTATGATTAACTGTGTTAATTGTGTGGATGCAGTGGGGTTATGATTCAGAATAAGCATGGTCGATTACCTGAAGGTGATATTAGAATACCATAACCATGATTCGATAATGCACTGACACTTGTGATATCAATACTCCCATCAACACTAGAAACTGTAATTCCATTCATGCAGTTGTATATAACAGTGTCTTGTATTGATACGCTGTTTGGTGATGAAGAAACAAGTATTCCACTGGTCAAACAATTGGTTATGTTAACATTTTCAAATGTTGGTGGGTTTCCTTCAACTTCGACTGATCCAGCTATGTCGGACGGTTGGGTCCCGGATGTGAAGGATATGTCCACGTTCTGCAGTAATGATGTAACTAGTGGCGACAAGCCGGTGAAGATGATACCTCTCCAGTAATTGTGCTGGAGGACTCTATTCTGGGAACCTGTACACTCTAATCCGACGTCACGAGTGTGATCTGTGAAAGTAATAAAACATACCGTGAAAAAACAGCAAACAGTGCAAGTCGTAGCAATTTTATGGGATTTTTTGATAACTTCTTCTTTTACAAAAATCTAGAGTCGACGCGAAAAATTCAACAAATTTGTTTTTTGAAATTAACATATAAAACAATAAAATTGTAATGACTCGGGTGTATTCTAGCGGATACTCCTAAATTAGCTGGTGCAAATCCGGTTAGTGTTTGGAAGGCACACTTGTTTTGTTGGATATTTGGCCCTCATCCCCCGGTTATTTTCCCCGGTTTTGTATGTGCATTTGGTGGATACGTCACACTACATTTGCTATGCGATACCTGTGCCGCCCACTGTAAATTCAATTTTTGCATAAGTCGACCTTTGGCTTTTTTAAAAAAAAAAACAATCATGTAAGACATGATGTTAGTACCAAAGGTCACTAGAATAGTTAATAAATTACATGTTAATTTTTCAAAGTTGCAGCAAATCAATGTACAAATACTGTATCTGTGTTTGAGGGATGTTTTCTCAACGGAAGGCGAATCGATTTGGTGTTCGCATCAAAGAAAACTTATAAATGTTGCTTTGTAACTTAGACGCGATCGCAGCAAACTCATTTCGAAATAGCGACTCTCGTCAAATTTACTTTGTCAGACTAACTTCCAGAGGGATTATCTGTATATCTCCTGATGACTTCTGTGGTATACGTTTATGCAACATGCGTGCATCTAGTTGAACTCTAAAATCATGCATAAATGTATTCAAATTGAACCGAAAAAAAAAAAAAACAATACTAAGCCAGCAAACACACATATCGAAAGACTTTAAGCTTTGGCTGGAGTTACTGTGGACAGTAACGTTTGCCGAGTGCTAGTGACAACCTGAAAGTTTGAAAAAAAAATTAAACTCCCTTGAAACTCTTTTGAATGGTGTGGTATCTTGAAACATTCATGGACCGATATAGGCGAATCGTTATGACAACAGAACACAACACAGCCTACAGTTTCTTCACGCTATCCACAGGCGCAGCACTTTACAGTCCAACTCGCCTAAAGGCTAAAAGTGCATCACACAATCCACGAGATCTCACAATCTTCACAAACATAAGTAATAAAACTCAACGTGTAATACAACACTGCGCTGTTTGCAGTGTCTCGTGTGATCATCCAGTTCCCTGTCAGATCACGGTAATCAACGAAAACTCGTGACTACAAAGTAATTTTTCCAGTAACTTACTTGAGTTACACTACTATTCATACAAGACAATTCTTTGTAAGGTGATTTCTCTAGAACCTTGACACACACGAAATCAATTGAAAAAAGTTGCATTGCAAAAGACAACACTGTTTAGCTTACAGAAACGTTTGCATGAATGAGAAAAAATATAACATAATGACCATTAAAAACTACTAGAATCGCAATAAACTGGCACTAAAAATGATAAATAGAGTTCTTGCTAATTGCATAAATAATAAAAATGTGGATATTTTTCGTCCATAAGTGGAAATCATGATTACATGCATTTTTATGTTACACTGTTGTTAACATACAATTCGGTTGTGCGAAATTCAGCAATAGAAAGATTCATAAACAGCCTGAGGGGAAATTGCGTTAATTTTTTAACAACTTGAGACCCGTCTCTTTTACTATGACATTAGCTCAGATGTATTTCTGATCACTTTAATATGTCGTCAATTCAAAACTTACCGTAATCGTCTTGTCCAATAGATAAGTTGATGCATTCAAATAATGTAGCCTCTGTACCAGTACAATCAATATCATCAATCCACATATTACCAGTTCCAGGAGGAGACGTCGATAATGTACCTCCACTGAAACCAAGGTGTCTACATGCCACATCTGTTTCAGCTTGTTCCCAGGTATCTTTACTTACAGTACCCCATTTCCCGTTGATGTTGATTTCAAGTCGACCTTGGTGCAAACCTCCCCCATCAACAAGTCGAATTGAGGCTAACCTGAAATCTTCAGTCAAATCCGTATCAAAGTTACCTTGTGAAGACGTTAGGGTAATTCGAGCAGCGTCAGTTCCTCTGGCAACAATCGCCCCACGCACAACTAGACTACTCCCTGGATAGAAGTTCACGATTACACCAGGTTCGATGGTTAGAATGATCTCATCATCTACCGTGATGTCACCAGTTACCTCATAAGGACTTTCGGTCTTCGTGAATACCGTATCTGAATTAATGTTATTGGAGATGGTCGCTGCGCATGCCACTTGCAGAAGACCACACAGAAATAACCATAGCGTTATACTTCTAATTGTCGCCATTATTCGATGCAACTATAGAATGAGAGATCAATACATTATAATTAAGAGAACACTAAATAGACTGTGTTAAGACAGCAAGCTGCAAAACACAACAAGTTTGCATTGGTATCTATTACTTTCACTAAAAACTATTTCGCAGAGATATATACATTGTACATATAAAGGCTAAACCGTTAATTCGTATGTTATACCATACTTACCGTAAGCACGACTACTAGAAATATAATCGAAACCCTCTTGTTTTTGTCTGTAATATAACATAAATCAATGCTACGCATGGGCTCATAAGAATATACATCAGGCTTAGTACTTAATCCGGAAGGAATGGAATTATGTATAATAAAAAGTAATGTTATGGTTAACATGTGTGATTTATTGTATAATAGCTTTAATCTATTTTAAATTTATGTTATTCTGCTAGGGCAAAATTCTAGATTTGATTTTATTTATTAACAAACTTGTACTGTTTTTCTTCATTGTTGTTGTCTGTTTATTCTGATAGTGATACAAGATATTACGATATATAATATAATATAATATAATAAATGAAGCGTACAGTTTTATTATATACTTATATAAGTAATACTATTGTAATGAGGGATTAAACCCGTGTATGACGTCATTAAATCGCCAGCACTGGTGTTTTATAGTTGCCATATGGTACTTAAGTAACACGCAAATCGTGCTTGTCAGTTAACAAAATATGCATTTTTAAGTCGATCTACTCCTTGTTGGCGTTACCCAAGGGTGTGTTATGTTGCTAACAGTGAAGCAATCCTGCTAACAAAGTTGGCAGTTCGTCTTCCTGGAGCGCTAGCGTTTTTATGTTTTAAGATACCAGTAGAAGATGTGATTTCACTTTTCCTGTCCCATGGCAAAACACTTTACGTAAACCGTATTCGCCGTGAATCAATGCTTAATCAATCAATTAAATAACAATTGCTATGTAACTACAGGCTCCCAATTGGACGGGTGTTTAGTGCGGTTACAAGAAGTACAATTAAGTTGGCAAGTTCATAGCTGGCTACTAGGCATTGTAGAATCAGCTGGTTAAAAAGTTTCGTTGGAGGAAGCAAATACTACATAGCGAATACGCTGTTAAATATGCATATTCCATAGCTAAGCTAAGAGAGAGTGCGATACTGATGCGAAGGTGTCACAATCGAATCAAGAAAATTGTCGATCTGTACGCTGTGGTCTTGTTTTTTTTGTTTAGATTTATAAATCTGGGTTCAGATTAAAACAAGAGGTTCAGCATTGTTATTTAGACGTACTTTTGTGCCGTGTGTTACCATGGCTGCCACTTAGTTGACGCTCATGTCATTGTGTTCATCCTCACTACTGACGTCAAATGTACTGTTACTGTGATTGATTGAATGGTTTTTCAATCGTCATTTTATGTTAAGTATCTAAATGTTCATATTGTTTTAGACACAGTTGCATTGACAAAGTCACCCTCCATAAGGCTAAATGTTACATGAAATGCAATGTGAACAATGAAGGTCGAGTAGTCGCCATTTTCATTGAGATCGGTCTGAGATGGGACCCATAAACGCACGACGCACGCTATTATGCGAACGGCACATAAAATCACCAGTGTAAGGCCGACAGAGAGAGAGGGGTAACAGCCTCTCAAGCTTGACAACAATTTCAATAGATGGCACGCTCTGGAAACCTGGACGCAACCCCGCGGACATCTTTTGTTCATTTCCACGAGATTTAGTGTTCAACGTCCGTATGTAGCGACAATATTATGCATTCAGTGTCCACATACTTGCGATGGCAGTTACAAAA